GTAATGCTAACATATTACATTGTGTATTCAATGCAACCGTATATTTTTAACCATAGACTGTTCATAGAACCCGCATCTATTTAGCTGGATAGACAACAGATATTTAGCTTTTAAGCTAACATTTGCATGAGATGAACAAACAGCTAATAGTAGACTTGACTTACCGTTCTTTATGCAGTTTCAGATGGCGAACAAAGTTCGAGGTTGTTGCGTCTCCATCTGTGATGTGTGCGGCACAGGTTAAGCATTGTGCCGTTCGCTTTTTGTTTAAAACTGCATAGTTTTTGTAGCCGAATGTGACTACCTTAGGTACAGTGGCGGCTGGTGGTCTTTTTTTTTGATGGGGCTCTTGACATATAGGAAGTAACCTACCCGGGGGGTCCGGGGGGATTTTCCCCCGGCAAATTTTTTCGATAAATGACCCCTTAAATTATGACTTCTGGTGATGTTAGAGGGGGGGGGGGAAAGGAGAAATCGAGGCTTAAAAATATGAGAAGACTGATCAATACCTCCATAATCTTCAGTGTGGAAAATATTATTTATCAACCTGAACATCTACTACTTTACCAGGAATTTGTATTCTCAGAACTGGTCTGTTTATTTCTTTCTTAAAACTGTTCATGTTTTATGAACCAACACCTCCACCAAGTGGCTTTACAGTGAACTGCATGTGGGATATAAAATTAATAGCATCTTTTCAGTAGCATTAATTATAAATATTTAAGTGGTTCAATACAAGTCACTACAGCATTTCAAACTGAACTGTGAATAAATGCAATTTAAAAAAAAGAACCACAGCACAAAACGTCATAAATTGTGTTTTTTCTTTGTTTCTCTGAGGATTATTTACAAACAGGCTTATTTACATATAGCAATAACTCAGAAATGAAAAAGCTACATCGTCTAACACGAACAACCAGTTAGCATAATGATAATATATGTGTTATGTACAATGTAACTGGCAAGGCTAGAGCAAGAAAGAACATAACGTTTGCAAAAGTTTTAAATAACTTCAAGTATCTGTCTTCAGATTACGTGGAGGTTTTAATCCGATGGGAAGCAGATTTTAAGCGACACCGAAGATAAACCAAAAATGTGGTGGAGCTGCAAACCGTGTAGTGTTGCTGGGACAGGACAGGAGCTATAACCGTTGGAAAATACATCACAGACAATGCAACAAACGTGGAGACAGAACAATCACTTCTGTGATAAATGCCCACTTATTAATAAACTCCTATCACAGTCCACGGGCACATCGTATCTGTCCCCGGCTGTTTGAAGAGCAAGCATGGGAAACAAAAGTCAGCATTTACCTGTTTGCATCCAGCTAGCCAAGCCTTTTTTGTGTACCAGCTACGTGCGAAGCCTCGTGTATAAGTTTTGTCTTTTTCACGAGATTGCTGCGATATATTCAAATCGGGTTGGTCCGGTCCAAGGTCTTTAAGCAACAATTTATCTGCCAAACTTCTCCTTTCGAAAGGATTGGAGATTAGCTCTTGGACGGAATTAGGCGGGGACCGAGGTCCGGAGACTCCACCTGCACACGAAGGGTGTTTCTCAATCGCGAGTACGCTTGCTTGGTAGCACATGTCTGCCGAGCATCTTGCTTCAGAAGCGAGTCAAGAATACTTCCTGGCATTCGGAAAACGAAGTGTGGAACACGCTAGCAAGTGTGCAGGTGTGCGTCATATGAGAGGCCCCGCCTTACATCTTCCGCCACAGATTTGGGGAAATTGGTCCGTGCGCAAAGCATTGTGGGGATTTTAAGACCGCGAAGTCTACTCATGTGCAGACTCGATATTTCTCCAAACGAAGTACGCCGGGCTCGGTAGATTTCCAAGTATACTGGAGATTGGAACAGTACTTCGGCGGCACTCGATGACGTAGTATGCTTGAAATAGTGGCTCTGAAGCAGCTTTACTCGCGATTAAGAAACACCCGAAGCCATCCTCATCAACTACTGCGTCACCCGGATACGAGTCACTGTCCAAACTACTCACAGACTGCACCGGGCGCTGACATTGGCGCCCGGTGACCATCATATTTGACAACGCTGATTGGCTGAAATTATGTTTTCGCGGCATAGTTTACACGTTACAGATAGCAACAGTCAGCTGCTAGTGGCTGCTGCTGCACTGGTTGAGGGCTCCTCTCTTAGCGCCCAGACGAGAGAAGGTACACGGGCAAGGCCAGGCAGGAAACATGTGACTTATCAGTAACTTTAGACATCGTAACACAATTTTAAACGACATTTTATTGTAGATTATACATTTTACTGATACCAATTATATAATATTTACCTTGTTCATTAAAAATAAAAATAAAAATATATATATTTTTTTAAATATATTTTTTATTTTTATTTTTATTTTTATTTTTTAATATGGGAAGAGGTGGGGCGGCGCCCCTAGCGCCCCTATGGACCGGCCGCCACTGCTTAGGTATCATTTTTTCGATAGTGCTGGGTCACGCAGCATCACGCAGCGTCATGGTCACGACTCTCTCCTGCAACCTGATTGGTTAATAGCTATATCATGGGGGAACTTGCCGAGATTCAACGTTTTGGTTTGTTGCTTCGGTAAATATATTGCGAGGAACTTTTTTTGAATAAATTAATGTATCAAGTCACCTCAAGTCAGAAGGCTCAAGTCCAAGTCAAGTCCTGAGTCATTGGTGTTCAAGTTCAAGTCGAGTCACAAGTGTTTTGTGATTTTGTCAAGTCGAGTCCAAAGTCATCAAATTGGTGACTCGATTCTGACTCGAGTCCAAGTCATGTGACTCGAGTCCACACCTCTGGTATTCGCCATACAGGAAACACACATTTAAAACGGTTTTGCCTGCCGTTTTTGGGTACACAAGCATTCATTAATGGTTCGGAAAGTGGCACTGTACCTTACTAATATAAAGGCTTGTATTTGCGTGCATTTCCTGTTCGGAAAGTGGCAATGTACTGAGAGTGGAGGTGTCCTGAGATTAGCGCCTGCAGGCAGGCTCCATGGACCTGTCAGCTCCGGACAGCGCAAAATGCGTACATGAAGCGCTACGTCATGAACGCAAGAAATCTACCCTCGTGGGGGCACGCTCATGTGATTGGCTTAGAATTAAGGAGACATCTGATTGGCTATCGATAGAAAAAATTACAAGTACGAATCGGGTCACCGTCAGGGGAGTCTCAAAAAACCCACACACGAATGCACAGCGATCCATGCACAGAAAGCGGTTTGTGTTTGTAGGTGCAGCGGTTTTAAACGGAAAACAAATATGTGAGGATCAAAAATACATATGTAAAACTTTTTTCTGTATTTGGATTTTATTTACATGTATATGAAACGGAACACATTTGTGTGTGCATTGACAAACACAAGTGTGGATCCGGAAATACAAGTGTGAATCCTTTTGCGGATCATAAAATACAAGTGTGAATCCTTCTGTGTGCATGTGTGTATTATGAGACTGTTCTGAGCCCATAGAGGTGTGTTGTACAGTGTACTGTAGGTGCCTTAAAGTGGACCTATCGTGCTATATTTAAATGATATATTGTAGGGCCATACCTATATAAGGTATATTTATACATTTCTGTTTTCAAAATACCAAACAGATCATGCATTTTAGCCATGCCTCATTTCGCTCTATGTGCTGTTTGCTGTCTACGGGTCTGATTCTGCTGACCACGCCCCCCTGCAGGAGAGGGGAGCCGTGCTCTGATCAGCTGCTGGGCTGTCAGAAGAGGGGGAGAAAAAGAGATCTCCGTCCTCCGTGTTTTATTATATAGAGTCGTTATTCATTTGTTTTAAAGCTCAATAAATAACAAAGAAGACCTTTGACCGGCACTTTTCTAATTTTGTCTGGAAGATTTAAACTTTAACGGACATCTTGACCGGCGAAAGAAACTGAAACTGAAACTCTGCCGCACGGTCCCCTCGTTCCTTGGAAGAGGCGGAGAGGTGGGTGTTTGTCATCTGCTGGTGGACTAACCGGAGAGAATTACAGTGCTTGCCTCGACGGGGAGGGATTGCATTGAATTAAAGCAGCGGGAGCAAACGCTTGCCTCGGGGAGGGAGAAAAAAAGCCACAGCGGAGAATAAACAGAAGGGTAACCATGGTAACTATGGGCGGGAAGTCTTCTTCGCTGCTTTTGTGGCAGACTACAGCGCCACTTACAGGCCTGGCATATGTACTACAGCGTCTCCAGCGCTTTCGAGCGGCAATGGCCGGCTGTGGCCCAACCCCACATTCCCCTCATAGGTGGAGAGTTGGCCCAATAGCCGTAGCGCCACTTCTGTGACGTCATAGAAGTGTTCAAATCTGGATCAGTCTGTATCAGATCCGTTGCAGCCCCTTTTTTAGAGATTTGAGTATGGAGGAAAATAGAGAGGGTTGTGTTTTCTGACACTTGGTGGGTTCCCTGGAACACCGGGGACACATATTCATGTATAAAAGACGTACAAAAGTGCATTTTGCATGATCCCCTTTAAATAACCCCTTATTTTCTAGTGAGATGTATTTGTATGTTCATATAATAGTGATTTCAATGCCACCCCAAAATGATCACTGGTTCCATCCTGGCCACCCCACTGAAAATGTCCTGGCTCCGCCACTGGTCAAGCCGACTCCGAGCTGTCCGACTTCAGGCGAGCTCTCTCGCTTTTTGAGACCTCCCCCGGCTGCAATCGGCTACTCTCGTCTACTTTCGAGGCGAGCCGCAGCTCATCTCAAACAAGCTTTAAGGGTTTGCCCAGCGCGCATGTCAATTCAACCCGGACCCGCAATTCCTGCACGTCTATTGGTCGATTTTTCCTGTCTATCAAAATGTACTGTTTCGATTCGGCCAAATCACCTTTAAACCCCTCTCTCTCTGCATCGCCCTCAACAATAGGCTGGCTGGCGTCCCAATTGAAGTCTTTGAATCACCTCATTGGTTGTTTGCCTAGTCAATCAGACCATTCTTGGCCGTGATTGGCTGCTCTGTCAAAAGTAGGTGGTAGGTTTCCGGAAAATGCATTTCCTTGTCTGTCATATGCGAAGCTAAGGGAAGAAGAACCGATTTATCCTCTGGATAAATAAATATACCACTTTTCTAACGGAAGAAACACGCCAGGCATTTGAATTATACATGATATACAGCCTCAATTTGACCCAGGTAGCTTAATGCTAAATTTAGCCGCCGTTTCGTATCAGTGTTTGTTAAGCTAGCTGTTATCACGTCGCTATCTGACTGCAGCCCCCTGCTCTCCAAACACACCGCCTTTGTGGCTATGAGTACGGATTTACTTTCTGATTTGGACAGTCGTTTCTTCGCTGATAACCTCCTGACAAGCGAAGACTGGGGTGAGTTAACGTTTAATGCATTTATAATGTAAATACACGTGTGTTCAAACGATACAAAGACGGGTGTGATAACGGGCGTGTGTGGATGCCCCACAGTAGTGCTCCGTAGCCGGGGAGTATAAACTGCGAACCCCCCTCCCCCATGGAAAATCTCCATTGTGAAAAATAAGGGTGTTATTTAATAAATAATGTGTGAAACTATGCCCAAGATGCCCGTAGCACGCGGTTGCAGTGTGTATGTGTGCTTCCTCCGTCAGCAGACCCGGATATGCCTGTTTGTCTCTAACACGGTGTGTGGAAACGAGATCACACATTTATAGAAGCACTTGTTCCTTCGGGTCTGTTCTCTTCCTTTAACTCTGCAAGAACCACCGTTTCTCGTCTTGTGTTGCTTGGTTAAACTCAGTCATTACACAAGCATGGGAATATGGCTTCTAAGTGGTTCGTTTGAGAAGCATGCTAAAATAAATCCGCCAAACTGAATGTACTTAAAAGATTACACCAAGCTGAATGAGGTTTTAGCAGGTTATTACCTGTTTAAACATGAACAACAGGGTATGGACCTGACACTGTATGTCCATCATGTTAACATATTAGATTAGATTCAACTTTATTATCATTGCACAGTACAAACGCACTGAGACAACCACTGGTGGAAGAAGTACTCAGATGTTTTACTAAAGTAATACTAATAACGTACTTAAATAACAGTACAAACGTATTGGCATTAAAACATACTTAAAGTACCAAAAGTAAAAGTACTTATTAGCCGCGTTCACACCAAGTACTTTCCTGTACTTAGTTCCGGCACTAAGAGCCCTGGCGCTTTTAACCCCAGGGTACTTAGTACAGATCGCGTTCACACCGGAGTACTTTTCCCTGAGGGAAGATTACAAGTACAGTAGGTGGCGGTAAGCACCTTAAAGTTGTTTGCAACCCGCTACAAAACAAGAGAAGAAGAAAAACTGATACAGGATCTGTTTAATCGCCATGTCGGTTTTCTTTATTGCACTCTCAAGACATAACATTAAATAGAAATATTTTAAATGTAACTAAAGTGTCAGTTGTACATGTCAGTAAACATTGTCAATATAAAATAAAGTGTCAGTTGTACTATATAATAACAATATAAAATAAACTCCCAGCTGTAGGGAGTCTCAGCAGCAAACCCACCTTTATTATATATCTTCCTGAGACCCACTGCATCCGTCTGCCATAAACACTATGCAAACATACATGTTAGTTTTGGCCCATAGTGCACTCCATGTTGTGTTGTGTGAAATGGGGGGAATTAAAAGTTTAGGTCAAATAATATTTAAAATTATATAAATTGTCATATTTGTGTATGTGCCCCTGCCATTCCCCCACAAGGTTGCAACATTGATGATAAATAAATGACAAATAAAGCTTTGCCAGTTTATAACCGATGAAACATGATGGTATCAGAATAATCACTTACATGTGATGTATAGGATGCTACACAGGTCACAAAAGATAAAGTGTCAGGAGAAATAAGCTTAATCGCCATGTCGGTTTTCTTTATTGCACTCTCAAGACATAACATTAAATAGAACAATTTTAAATGTAAATAAAGTGTCAGTTGTACATGTCAGTAAACATTATATATAAAATAAAGTCATAACAGTAATAACAATATAAAATAAACTGTCCCAGGTGTAGGGATATTCCCAGCAGCATGCACACCTTAGTGCAACGTTGTGTGTCGTGTGTCAGTATTTACAAAAACTATACCAAATAAACTGTTATTAAATGCAGTTTGTCGCTCATCCTGCCGCTGCGCCGACGCTTCCTCATGGCGCAGCGCCCACACTTCATCCTGGTGCTGCTGGCGCTCCATCTGCTGCCTGGCGCTCCATCGAGGTGAGCATCTTGTCCTCCGTTTCCTGGGCCTTGGTGAACAGCACCATCTGATCTCCACGCAGCGACTCATTCACCACGGCACGCCGGTCCTCCAACGCCTGGGCGGTGTCAAAGAAATTCGCATCCCGTGTCCGCTTTCCTAAGAGGGGAAAATAAGCAATATACAATATACAAGTTTAGTCGCCATGTAGTTTTACAACATACTAGGAATGTGTTTTTTGTATTTTCACAAATAGAATTAAGGTTTCACAAATCTGAAACTGTGTTATAAAGAATCTTTTGACTCTCTGGGATAATCCAGTCCAGATTTGATGAGTCTAGGTATAGTGGTTTTAGATCAGGACCTGGTCTAATGTGGTCTACATGTAAAAAAAGCACTGAAATCTCCCTTTTTTTTATTTTATGAGGCAAGTTAAACATAAAATATGATGAATATTATGAAATAAACATGATTGTGAACATCAGTTCGATGCGTAACGTTCTTTCAAGACAAAGTTACAGTGTGTGTACCTTTGCGTTTGGTTGCTGGTAAGGAGGACGACAAAGCGCTGTGATCTAGAATGCAAAGCTCACTTGTTTCCAATCCCGAGAGTTGTCCATCCTCGCCTGAAACAGACGATTAGTGCCATGAGTTAGTGAAGCAAATTACAGAAACACTGCACAGTTATTCACAAGTCAAAACGTTTTCATACAGCGGAGAATATCTAGCTAGCTAGATGTAGCTAGCCGGGGCCGGTGTTAGCCTATTATGGCTAGCATGGCTAGCTTGATCTACTGAGCAAATAAAAGTACATCTGAGACCATTATTGTGCAGATTAAAACCCCAGTGCATGTAGTTGATTTTACCTTCATCGTGGTAGTCATCGTTGGCCACTGAATCCGCTGTTTGTAGTCCTGAGTTTCTTTATATTTAGCCGGCTGTGCACAATTCCCAGGTCGAGTGAAAGCTACTGAACTGGCTTCAGTGCATTCCCTGGGTCGCCTCCTCGGCGTAGATCTCCAGAAGCGCCGACACCTCCTCATCATTTCTTGATGCTTGCCATAACTGCTTTCAAAAACAAACACAACGCACGGAGCGTTGTGTTTTTGTAGCGAGGAAAAAGCGTCTCCACACAACATTTTCAGAGTTGTACGGGCGTGGTTTGCAATTCGCCCAGCCAATCAGCACTGGGGAACTTTTGGAGCACTTTTCACCCACAGAAAAGTACGCTCTCTGAGCTGGCTCTAAAAATGGGGGTAAAAGTACCCGAGATTAAGTACGATTTTTGGTGTGAACGCGACATAAGGGGTACTCACGGAACTAAAACGCGAAAAGTACGGTGAAAGTACTCCGGTGTGAACGCGGCTATTATGCTTAAGTGCCCATTTCAGAATCATATTACATTACTTGATTATGGTGTGTTAGTGTGTTTATCACAGATGGCACATAGATCTCATTTGAAGGAATGTATATACTGCTGCTGGATATCATAACCTATAGTTATATTTCAATGATTATTTAATATTGTATTAATATGTGGTATTAGCTAATGATCTACATTAAAAAAAAAAAACTAGCAACTAAAATGTGTTAAATAATTCTAGCGGAGTAAAAAGTATAATATTGGCTTCCAAAATGTAGAGTAAAGGATAAAGGAGCATACAGTGAAGACACTCAGGTAAAGTACCTCAACATTGTATGCAGTTCAGCATCTAGTCAGGAGTGCAACAAACTATGAAGTGCAGAGCAAGAGTAAGAAATATATTCAAAATAAAATGTAGGATCAAAATAAGGATAGTAATACACAACACAATGTGTGAGCAATATTAACAGTGTGTATGGATTCAAAGTATGCACATAGTGCAGTGCAAGTAGGAACGAGCAATATGGAGAAAAAACATTATGTTTGACCAAATACCTGAATAACATTGTTATTTTAAGGTTGACAAATTTCGCTTTCACAAAATATTTACACGATAATTTAAAAAAAAGGTAATGTGGATTTACAGTGGGTCAAGGAAAATAATGCAAAGGCCTGTTGAATTCAGGAAATTACATAACATTTCTGTAATGTGGAAGCTTTTTGAACAGCAACATCTTTATCTTTAAACTCTAAGACAAGATTTAGTCTCATATCATAATATTTATAATACTGATATATTACCGAACCTTAAATGCAGGAAACTGTATAAAAGTAATGCTCATACGTTGACAGTATGGAGGCATGATGTGAAAACTGTGTATAATCATTAGTGGTATATAGTTTAGTATATAGTATGGACAGTAAAGCAAGTGTGGTAAGGTGAGAGTGTGTATTAAACATAGTAGTAAATGGCTTTTGGTGTAGTCGGAGTACATAAAAGAAGATACATGATAATGCCGACTTATTTGCATATACGTTACTCAGGCTGTGTTAAGAGTGACTTCCTGGGAGCCCTATAGTATCCATCTTTCCACATATCTATATATCTCTCGAATACAATGTAATTGTTGTTTTGTGCAAACCAATCAGAGACACGCAGCAGGGAAAAATAACCACCAGCTGCTGTAACATTTTGTTACTAAATTTGGCCGGCAAACATTAAGATTGACCAGGTCTTCTGTCTGTTTAACTCTTCTGTTGTTCTTAGAGGAGATTAGATGAAACTTGAATGATTCCCGTGAGAGAAGTGGGTCAATGCAGCTGCAATAGAGATGGTACAGATGGAGGCTAAAACACAATGGATATTGACGGCAAAAAAAATCACTGAGGGTATTTGGGAGAAAGAAGAAAGCATTAAACAGGTTGCACTTCTTTTCAAATGGGTCCTTAAAAGAAAAAGGCTGTATCATTTCATTAATTATCAACAGATGTTATGACCTGACAAATTGATGGACAGATTTATTACCTTTTTAGAAGACTCTGCTAGCATCTGTTTTATTTCATTACATGATGGCCAAATACAGAATAATATCTGAGATAATTTGATTATAAATATTGAATGGTGCAGTTGGTTAAGGTGGAGCTAATTTTATTTACTTTACTTTACTGCTGGAACGCTTGCATATGATTATATTTTGTTTGTGTAATATCAATCTTAATATGCAAAAATGTTGTTAAATAAATGTAGTTTAGTACAATATTACCCTCTGAGATCAAGTATCTTACAAATTGGAAATACTCAAGTGAAGTACACATAAAATGACTTCACTACTAACTCCTTTTTTGAAAAGAATAGGTACATGTTGTTGTTTTGATGTTGAAGAAACCAAACATGAATAACATTCCAAAGTGTGGCAGTACATTAGTTGCTGCAGTGTTATGACATTTGAATATGTGATATCTGGAGTACAGAGCAAATATTTGCTGCTACACCAGCGATTCACACCTGCTCTCTTGGACAGGATGTGGTTCAATAAGGGCCTCCCTGTTTGTTTCAGTGTCAAAGTCCACACACGTTTTTTATTCTCTGCATCATCAAATAAGGCAAAGCAGGACTAGAGTCAGACAGGGTCATAGTGAAATCCTCTTTACCATATGCTGCTTAGAAATACCAACATTTTTTTATCTGTAATTTTTATGCCATATAATACGTTAACAAATTAACCAGGCAATTCACCCTTGTGGAACTTTTTCCTCTCGGTTTGTGGGTTTATTCTGGTTGTAGGCAAACTGGTTATATCTTACACAGGCTCCGTCCTCTACTGGACTTTATGGGTACTACCCCTTGACCTTACTATACGAGCGTTCACCTACTGAGATATCTTTAAACGTAGCCAGCCCCTCGGGGCGGACCTACCTGAGTGCGTGCGCAAGCCCACCGTATATAAGGCGACCTCGCCTCCTGACTGTCACTGTGTTTTATGAATACTCACACACTTCCTCAAGGATCCAAACAACATTGTCATCCTGTAACACAGGCTTGCTCAATGGAATGCAGTTGTAGCTTAGTAGTCCATCAGGCTGCACATTAAAAAAATATCGCGAAAAAAAGAACAGTAAAAAAGCAGAACTGGTGCATTCTTGATGAGAAAAACAAAACAAACAAAATCAATGATGAATTCGTCTTGGCAGAGACTATGGCAGGCATCTTAAACATTACAACATTTCAGATCAGGAGAACATTGTCCCTCAACATGACCCCTACACCGTTCGCATAGAGGGTCCACCACATTAAGGGCTGTTCCAATCCAACAAGTGTGGAGTGGGAGTGGGTTATCAAGAGAGTCTGCATCACCTGACTTCACCTGCTGCTCTACCTGACCGACTCAACGCTGTGTGTGACCGTCATGAAACACACTGTGTACAAATAGTTCCGTGCAAACAATCACTGATAAACTGCACAACAAGATAGATATTTAATATTCTCATACCGATGTTAACAACTTCATGGTTACTTTTTATGTTATTACTTAGGATCATATACCCGTGTCTAGGAAACGGTAACGTGTGCATTTGATTGTAAAGCTTTATATATTTACAGGGACTGGTGCATAAACCAAGCACCTCATAAACATACGTTTTTAGAACTAAAACCTTTTTTTACTAAAAAGAAAGGCCATTAAAAAAAATGTGAGTTATCTTTTGTCCAAGAGATGCTGATTTGAAAGTTGAGGCGTTTCCTGGAGAGAGGAGAGTTTGTCCCAAAGCTTTCTGCTGTATTAACACCCCCCACCTGCAAGAAGGGAGCCTCCTTCAGCTGTGGTTTGGAACTGGGCCTTAATCACTAATCTTCTTTGGTCCGCCCAATCACCATGCTTCCTTCTCCGATGTTATCTGATGATAGGTCTATCTGTGTCGTATGCCATACGTGCTTCACTGAAAAGAAGTTGCACAATTCAAAGGTGCTACCGGCCACTGCTTCCATCATCATCATTGCCATAGCGACCGGCCCTCTCTGTTTGGTGGTGTTTGACGTTAAAGATGTGTTGTGTGGAAAGTGAACGAAGAAAGAAATTACAACTAAGACTAATGAACTCTCTGGGACACATTCTACATTAGATATCATTTAAAATGTTAGCTGGCTTTTTATTATTGCATAGTAAAATATTGAATAATAATAACTTTGTATTTTCTTTCTGTGTTTCCCTCTTCAGATGCCTGTCTGTACCAGTGTGAGAGCATGGAGGAGGGCGAGGACGCTGACTTCAGCAGAGGGGTGAAACACGAGCCGGCGGTACGTACGGAGACAAAAAGAAAGTGATACTGTTGAGAGCTCTGGTTTCTGCCCCGGACTGAGAGAGAAACCGATGCTCGGCCTCCTGTACAAAAACTCCAGTCATTCAGTGGCACAAATGAAACATTTCAACGTTGCTTTTGGAAAGTTGAAACTATTTTTTCTCGGGTTCAGCATTATTTGATAGTGTATGGGCCCCTCTTTTGTAAATGAGATTATGTTGAAGCCCTTCCAACTGCATGCAGCCACATAAAGAAACACTCGTATACACTACCTTTGCTTGCATACTCCTACAGTATATAAGTTCTTTGAAACATCTTCTCAAATGTAAGCCTAAGTGAAACTTTTTTTTTTACGTAAAACCAAAGGAACAACTTGCTTTAAAAGTGTCACTGCAGCATGCATCCTTAACATCTTTACTGTAACAGCAGTCATTGCTTGGCAATAAATCAAAGCTTGATCCTTTCTGCAACAATTGGCCTACACTTCTAGTCACATCTCAGTATTTTATATTTTTTACTTAATTAGTAGTTTACTAAATTACATTTGAGTAACAGCAACTTGTAGCTATTCAAAATGATGTAGGGAAAAAAGGAATTACAAGAGATGTCCCACCCTTAGCATGTACAATGTGATTGAGCTTTAGCCAATAGAAGCTCCAGCTGGAGGGAGCTTTGATATCTGCAGACCAATTGAAGACCATTTCCATGCACAAAAACCTATATAAAACGCCAGGAAAGGAACAAAAACAAAAGGCATAATGGGGCCTCTATGAACAATTAATTTATGAAATGTAAGCATTGAGTATCAAAGCAGCATGAATATTCCATATCTTTATTGTGTAACAGCAGTTATTGCCTTATACTATATTAGTAGTATACTACATCAGGTGATATACGTTTTTATATTAAAGCAACTCCTAACTAGTCCATAAATGTAGTGACTTAAGAATCACAATATTAGCCTCTGAAATCTAGTGTATTAGAAGTATAAAGTATCGTGAAATTGAAATACTTAAGTAGAGACGTGAATTATTTCTTTAACTCTGTAATTTGGAATATTGGCGTCTCTCATTTACATTTTGTTGGCAGCAGCATAAACGCTGCAGTTAAACCCCCCAGTTAGTTCAGATGACGGGTCAAAGGATAATCAGGCTAACTGTGTCACACACACACACACACACACACACACACACACACACACACACACACACACACACACACACACACACACACACAGAGAGCCAGCGGTTGTTTTGCAAAATCGTCCACCTGACTCCCTCCTTCCTCTCCCTCTCACAGTTTGACAATAACCTTGTGTTCACCCTCGATCCTGACAACCCCACGTCGCCATGGCAACACCTTGACGAAAACCTTCTCACAGGTAACAGACCGCCCTATCACAGGCCTTCAGTGGAAACATGAAACCAGCTGCGTCAGTGTTTTGCTTTCAAGTCCATTAAACAGGAGCTGCTTCATCCTCACTGCTGACGCGGCGGTGAAGGTGGAAAAACATTTAATAAGATTAAAAGCAACAGCAGTTCTGTAATAATACCGTTTTTATATATAAACTATCTTTGTACCTGGATATATCAGGATTAAATAAGGAAACAGAGGATTATGCTGCGCTATTCTGTATTTTTCTTGACATCAAATCCTGTGAAAAGACCAAAACCAACACTGTGGGTCCATTTCTCAATGCTGTATTACTTCCTGTCTTTGTCAATCCGTTCCAAGCCAATTGGTTTCTACTTAAGACATTCTTTAAAAATCACCTCAGGATATAATATATAATATTTTGTTTTTATTTAAGCTACCTTCACTCAAACAAAGAGGCTCAATCGGCTTTTGTTCAGGACTTTGTTCAGCAGCGATGATCTATTGTGTATAGAGTGGTACAGGCATGAGTATAACCGGAAAATGTAAGACTTTTGGTTTCCACAAATGTTTTTTTGGTTAGTTGCCTGAAATAAGGTCTGTGGTTAATATGCAAGCTTAAGAGATGTCATGCTTTCTTTTAGGATGTCAGTAATTGCTCCACTGAATGTAGCTTCTGTGTGTCATAAAAACAGCGGTTGCCAACATATGACTAAATAAGACTATTATGCATCATCACACTCAACATTAGCGTCCTTTAGCTTAGCTGTGGTGATGCGTAGTTTAGGTCGAAACATAGGTTTCGTTGACTATATGAATAACTAACTATAACATGTTGAATACCATCGCAAGACTCATCTTTTAAAAAGGAAAAAAAACATCCTTTAAAAGACATTAATGCCTCATTTCCACCACACGGTCGGCCTCGGCCTCGCTCGGTACTGCTAGGCCGCGTTGGGCCTTGTTAGGGCCGGCTCACTTCATGCTGCGCTTCCATTACCGTTTAGGAACTGGGGTAGTTACTATAGTAACGCAGTGTAGGCGGAGCCGTGACGTCATCTTCAATGAGAACCCCAGAAAAACAAAACAGCTGTTAGCACTTAGAGCTCACAGCTCCTTATATATGTTCAGAAACTAGACAAAAGTTAAACAAGTACAAACCACAGACTGCCTGTGTCATGGTGAATACAGTCGCTGCTTTATTTATGTCTGTATAGGCCGTTGTTGTGAGTGTGGACGGTCGGAGCATATACTGCGTTAGCTTAGCCAATCTCCATTTAGAAAACACGCATTTTAAAAGGTTTTTCGCCTGCCGTCTGTCTGCAGACTTGACAAAGCATTAATTCATGGTTTTTACTAACCGGTATCAGTATGTTGTTACTTCGGCATCATTTTGAAACGTGTATTACAATTAAATCACGGTCAAATATGTTCATCTTGTTGTAGTTGTAGCCCCCTTGCCAGCAATTCTCTCTCTAGTTTAGCATACTCAGCCCTGTTTGTTGGCCCCGATAGAACCACGATTTTGTCGGGCCAGAAAAGAGGTGAAAAAGTACCCCCGGGCCGGAACTAGGCCTAGTGGAAGCGCAACCAAAAACGGGCCCGGCACGACACGGCACGCTTAAACCGCGCTCCGCGCCATGGTGGAAATGCCCCATAAGTTGCTTCTTCTTTCCGTTTTTAATCGGTGACTCGTAAAGCTTGTCATAAACTCTCATTATTCTTTGTGTAAATATAATCATTCAGTTATGTTTCAACTGAAAGAACAGCACAATGATAACCAACTCTTATATCTCTGTAAGCTTTTTTCCAAGCATATCATAGCCATAAATAATGTTGTATTATATGTATTGTTTTTTCCCCATCAGAAAGGGATACAGCTGAAAGTCAGACTGTTGCTGTCATCAACTCTTTGTTAGATGAGGAACTTATTTTATATTTTTGCAGTACCACAGATTTTGGTGGGACATTTTTGGTGGAATTGTTTCCCTGAACAAAAGGTCCCATTCCTTACAAACACTCCAACTTAAACATTCATCTTTATCATCTATATTTTATTGTAGACTGCTTCTCCTACTGTTATGTCTTTTGAATCAGTTTGCAGATGTATTATTATTATTTTAAGTAAGCCTTACAAGCTCACATTTGAGCCTTGGTTTGGCAGTTTGAAATCCTCTCTCTTTGTCTTAACATACTCGTGTCATTCTTCTCTGAAGGGGAGGCTCCTGTGATAAAAAGTGAAATGACCATCACTAAGCCGTTACCTGTGGAAATGTGTAAGTTTTCTGAGTTCTGATCAATTTAACAAAAACAGATTTGCTCAAATTGTCAGTATTTCATTAGTTAATGTGTTTGGTTGTGTCCAGTGTTCCAGGTGAAGGCAGAGCCTCCCTCTCCTGCATCCTCATTCAGTTCTGAATGCTCTGTAGCGTCCCCAGACCCTCAGGTGTGTGTTAAGTAATTACTTTTGATGAGTTGTATAAGCATTTGTCTCGTTTATCATCATAAACATTGATTAGTGAATGTGTTTTGCTCTCTCTAAAACATGGAAAAGGAAAAAACGACTCAAAGTGACAAATCACAGAAGAGCTACAACTGTGATTAAATCAACCCAGTATGTTCTCCTCTGTTGCTCTCTTGATGGATATTAAGCTACCATAAAAACAAAAAACATGTCTTTTCACATTAAAAGTCTTCCTATAATTGGAAAGCTTTAAGACTAAAAGTCTTAAAGGTAGGGTAGGTAAGTTTGAGAAACCGGCTCGAGATCGCTAGAATTTGAAAATACACAACCGGAGAAAATCTGCCACTTCCTTATAGAGCCCCTCCTCCAACACACACGAACGCGCACATGACCAATGAGGGCACGAGATAAGTTTGTGCCCCGATGGAAGGCTGACAGGCAGGTAGGCCATCCAGTTATTTTAGCCGGGCCGGCTAAAATGATTGGTCGTGCTTTTTACAGTACTACAGCTTCCACAGATGACATTTTTTGTCAAAGCACTTAAGATATTCATTGCTATCGGGATGTTAAGAGCATTCCATGGAATATAACAAAAAGTGTATCTCGAGCCGGTTTCTCAAACTTACCTACCCCACCTTTAAAGCTTTCCAAATGTGAAAAAGCTGGAGAAAGAAAACATTTTAAAAGGAAGTTAACATGCTGAAATGTTCAAGCTTGCATTAACTGAGGACATTTGGAAATATATATGAAAATATAAATAGATGAATATGGACATATAAATAATGTCTCTAATACAAGGGTCTGAAAAAAAACCCTGCTACAATACCAACATTTAGAAATGTTCTTTATGTAATATAATTAAACATAAGACATTATGTTTGCAGCAGCATAAATCAGGTGTCGTAGTACAGATTATTATAAGTCATTTTACATGTATACATATCTGACTGCGTCTTCTCTTCCAGATCACAGTTAAAGGGGAAAACCCCCCCACTCCTCCCTACATGTACGGAGACGTGTTGTCCCCTCCGCTGGGGTCCTTGGAGGTCACCGTGGCAACTTCAGCTAAACCAAAGGCCCAGCTACAGGCACAGCTACAGGCGCCGTTAGCAGCACAGATCCCAGCAGTCCTCTGTGGGATTCAGACGCAGGCCTCAGGTAGCGCCACACACCAACATGTGTTTGTTTTTCTCTGGGAGTTGTAGTTCAGAGGCCTGAGGTCATATTACAGGATAAAGGAAATACAGAAAAACTGCCGTTGCAGGAAAGACGGCCGGCAAAAATCAACTGACTGTGTGAACGTGAAAATTAGTAGAATATCACCTCCCATCTTCACAGCAATCTGACTATTATAACATTAGCGTTAAGAAAGCTTACTTAAATATCTGCCACAACTGTACGTACAGTCCACGGCACTGTGAGTGCAGACGTCGATGTGTGTCCCATTATCATTCATATCATATTACATCATGTATCATATATTTCCTTATCTGAGTCAGCTTCTCGAGCCGTATCTGTCCGTGCAACACTTACAGTGTCACATACTGTATGCAGAAGTATTATTTTAAGCAACACATTAAAGGACACCTATCATGCTATATTTAAATGATATATTGTAGGGCCATACCTATATAAGGTATATTTATACGTTTCTGTTTTCAAAATACCAAACAGATCATGCATTTTAGCCATGCCTCATTTCGCTCTATTTGCTGTTCTCCAGCACTGTTTTTGAACGGGGCTGATTCTGTGAGCTGCAGCTGACCACGCCCCCCTGCAGGAGAGGGGAGCTGCTCTGATCAAGTCAAGAGGGGGAGAAAAATAGATCTCCGTCCTCCGTGTTTTATTATATTATTATAGGCCTATAGAGTCGTTATTCATTTGTTTTAAAGCTCAATAAATAACAAAGAAGACCGTTGGCCGGCACTTTTCTAATTTTGTCCGGAAGATTTAAACTTTAACGGACATCTTGACCGGCGAAAGAAACTGAAACTGAAACTCTGCCGCACGGTCCCCTCGTTCCTTGGAAGAGGCGGAGAGGTGGGTGTTTGTCATCTGCTGGTGGACTAACCGGAGAGAATTACAGTGCTTGCCTCGACGGGGAGGGATTGCATTGAATTAAAGCAGCGGGAGCAAACGCTTGCCTCGGGGAGGGAGAAAAAAAGCCACAGCGGAGAATAAACAGAAGGGGAACCATGGTAACCATGCGCGGGAAGTCTTCTTCGCTGCTTTTGTGGCAGACTACAGCGCAACTTACAGGCCTGGCATATGTACTACAGCGTCTCCAGCGCTTTCGAGCGGCAATGGCCGGCCGTGGCCCAACCCCACATTCCCCTGATAGGTGGAGAGTTGGCCCAATAGCCGTAGCGCCACTTTACTGACGTCAGGACAGTGTTCAAATCTGGATCAGTTTTTATCAGATCCGTTGCAGCCCCTTTTTTAGAGATTTGGGTATGGAGGAAAATAGAGAGGGTTGTGTTTTCTGACACTTGGTGAGTTCCCTGGAACACCGGGGACACATGTTCATGTATAAAAGACGTACAAAAGTGCATTTTGCATGATAGGTCCCCTTTAAGTTGACGAAACACTCAAGTCAAATGTAATTAAAGTCAGATCCACTCGTGTCTTAGACGGGGCAGTGATATCATAAAACTGTTAATGTACGCATTCAAACGCTTTTTCTTTTACCAGCTGTATTCACCTTGCAGGTGCAACTATGTGGCTTTGATCCTGGATAAAGTGTTTAAGTCATGGATATTTAAAGTTTAACTTCTTCATATTTGTCTAATATTATAGTTTACTTTTCATTCAGGAAGTATGACGCTGCGCTGTCAGTACGCTTGTCCATGTTTGTGATTGGTCAAATGTTGCTAACCCCGCCCCTTTCATGTGAACGTGCACTCAGCCGGACAGAGAAACCCTGGCTTGAGTTACCGAGTTTATAACCAGCGTCGTAGGACCGCTTAGCGAGATCGCGTTTGTTTTAAGGGGTATTTTTTTCTGTCTCCTCAAGTTCTGCCGGGTCCAGCCACGTTAAAGGCCAGCTCCATCCTGAGCACCAAACCTCTCATCCAGCCCAGACCGGTGTGTGTTTCCAGCCTCCCCGTCACCCAGACCCCCGCAGCCCCCAAGGCCCTCATCCTGCACGGCCTCCCCTCCATGGACCAGAACAGACCTGGTAACGGTCTTTGTGTTTTATTCAAATTCATTTGAAAGCAAGTAATGAAGATGAAGTAAACTATATACATGTCAGAAAAATAAATACATTAAGCTAAATGATGCAGAATGTTTTGGAAAGTGACCAAGTAAATGCAGGAGTCTATATACATGTAAATAGAATAAGATACACAAGAACAGAATGTCAAATGAAATATTATACAATAAAATGAAATTCTGTTTATTGTATTGATAACTAGTGCAGACAGATGAATGCTTTGCGTTATGGAGGCACGTAGCAGAGCTTGGGTTTTACTGAGCAACACTGAATAACTTCCCTTCAAACAAATCTCAGATGCTCAAATCCCCCCCCCCCCTCTTCCCTCCTCCAGTCGTCTTGTCTCAGTCTGTCTGCCTCGGTTCCACCCCGGCCATCGTCAAAATGGAGCCTTTGTCCCCCGGCATCCCGCAGCACTGCCCCAGCCCCACAGCCCTGCCCTGCAGCAAACCCATCGTTCCGGCAACGACAACGTTACCTGGCAACAACTGCATGGATATCGATGTGAGTTGTCTGGATATTTCATTGAATCTCAACAAGAAACCTGCCTGTAGTCAAGTGAGCTTATTTTTTTTATTATTATTATTCCAAAATGTGTGAACCATATTTGTACACACACACACACACACACACACACACACACACACACACACACACACACACACATATGTTGCGTGTTCACATTTGAAATGAAAGTATACATAAGCAGTAGCATTTTAATTGAGAGAATTTGAAGATTGCTCCATTGAGTGACATTGTAAAACATATTTTAGAAAGCATACAATTTACAAGTAAAGTTTGATTATCCTGAAAGAGCTGAACGGTTTCTAAGTTCAATGGTTTGGGTAGCTAGAGGTATGCAGATTGCCTAGTTGAGCTAGAAAATGCAGAAAACGCACTGGAATGTTGAAAACAAAATACAAATTGCAAAGCATAGCTTAAAATGAGTTGACCTGGTTTCTCAAGACACACCTTTTGGTTTTCTTTGAATATTAACCTCATTTCCTGAAACGAAAGGCGCCTTAAATAAAATGTATTATAATTATTATTCTATCTTACCTGCTTTCCCTGAGGAGTGAGCTAAAGCAACATGTAAGAGATGGGATCTTTTTTGTGTGTGTCAGGTATGAGATTTAAAGAGAACACAGTGGTATGTACAGTGTAGAACGTTTAGTAACATCCCACTGAAGCCCTGAGGGTTTCACCTGACACCTCTCACATTAACTGTGATATATGTTGACTTAGTGACCTCAGGGTGTTAAACCTTTCCTCTATTTGTGTTCCTCTCGTTCCTTTTTCCCTCCTTTTTGTCCTTCTGCCCTTTTCTTCCTCTATTTCAACATCCCTCCTCCTTTCTTTCACTTCCTCCTCCTTATCCCTTCTTCCTCCCTCCTCCTCCTTTTCTTAAAACCTTTCCCTCCTCTGAGCTATTTCCGTTCCTTCCTCCTTTTTCTTATTTATATTTTTCCTTCTCCCCCTGTTTGCCCATGTCTTCCTAATCCGCCTCCTCCGCCTCCTCCTCCTCCTCCTCCTCCTGCTGCAGATGAAGGTGCTGAAGCGGCAGCAGAGGATGATAAAGAACCGGGAGTCTGCGTGCCAGTCGAGGAAGAAGAAGAAGGAGTATCTGCAGACCCTGGAGGCTCAGCTGAGGGAGGCCCAGCAGGAGAACGAGCGTCTGCGCAGAGAGAACCAGGCGCTGAGGGAGAGGCTGGCCGGGAAGGAGGTGAGGGAGAAGAGGGAGAATAACCGCGGCAAAACTCAATTACAGCGCCATGTCATTTCCACACTCTAGGTGAAAGTAGTTATTGTAGGTTAGTAGTAGTAGTCATGACAAAGGCTACAGTTCAGAAGAAATATTTGTATGTGGAAATGAAGGTGTTTACAGGCCTTTACGTTCATATCTTGTTTACATCCACAAACCTTAACAGGCTGATACCAAAAGGAAAGAGAACAGCAGAAGTAAAGATTCTCTAAGGTTTCTGGTGAGAGTGTAAACCAAGCAGTCACTCAGACCACCTACAAGAGCCTGAGAGAAGCCACATCATGACATCACTGTTTATGACAACAACAACAACAACAACTATGGCAGACTATTCAGATCCACTCGTGTCTTAGACACATGTTGCTCTTCTGTTACGAAGCCAGATTGAGATTGCAAACACAATTTAGCCAAATGTATATTCTTTTCCAGGTTGGTGTGGCTATTAGAATGCTACTTGGCTGCTTTTTGATCTCGGCACTTATAATTCTTCAACAACTTTCTTCTTGAGCTGTTGTTGTTCATGATAATCCCCCCCCAGCCTCCAGAAAATGTGGTTCTCTGTTTTCGGTGCTCTAGTGTAACCAGAGTTTGAGCCGAGGGCCGGCCTGGCTGCAGTGGAAACATGAAAAACTGGTTTCAAATTGGGGACCCGATCCACCTTTGTGGAAAAGGGTTAAAAAAACAGGGCTGAAATGATGGCCTTCTGTTCCCTTTTTAAATTGAAATTCCAGTATTGTCTTCACATTATCAAAGGACAGTATAATGTTAAAAAACATTTATCAGGTTTAACCTCACCATCCTCTAACCTATCTCACTGCTTATACCACATTTCCCACAAGAAATGGGTGATTATATTTTTTAAATAAAAAATAACTATGTGAATATTCAGTAGTTGTTTACATGCAACATGTGTTTTTCAGGGCAGTGACTCAGCGAGCAACAAGCGAGCCGTGTGTGTGATGGCCGTCCTGCTCTTCATGACCTTCAGCTTCGGACCCGTCAGGTATCCTGCACACTTTATCTAGCATCTTACACCTTACTGCTTTTTCAGGCCTTCTAAAGAGTTACTTTAGTAGTCAAAGAAGTGACTGACTGAAAACGTGCCAGAAGCATCTTCATTTTGAAAGAATGTTAACTGATTCATGTAAAATACTCTCGCGCCAATTGTGGCTAAGTTAACAAAAACTATACAATGCTAGAATAGAATAGAATAGAATCGTTTAATGTCATTATACATGTACAATGAGATAAATAAATGATTTGAAATACAATCGTCCTCTCATGAAATCTTCAAATTCGAAGAGTAATTTGAGCTCTCCGACTTCTTCTCTCCGCAGCATCACAGACAGGAAGCTAACAGGTCTACAGGACGGGGTGGTGCCGTATACGGGACGGAGACTGCTGGAGTTTGAACAACAACAACAACAGAAACAACAACAAAAAGCCCATCAGCAGCAGGCGGCCCCCCCTCCGAGCAGAGTGGAGGACGGGACGGAGCTGGAGGAGGAGGCAGGAGACGAGGCTCCAGAGTCATATCAGTTCAGGTCAACATCTGATTAACAGAAGACTTTATTTGTTTTGTGAGAGTTGCTCCATTTAAGGATTAATACAACACATATTAATTAAATTAAAATATGTTGATGAACAATAGAAGTTAAAGTAAGTGTGCAATAAAAAGATAAAATAAAGATATTTATATAAACCTGTCCAATAATAGATCAAATAGAATAAATATATTTTATAAAGTAAAGGGGGGGTTTAACTTACAGTATATTATCTTTAGTGAATGAGAAACTGTTATGTGCAATACATTGAAAGAGACAAAAGTAGAAATGTCCAAACAAGATCAACCTGATCAAAGTGCTTCCATATTAAATATCCGTAGACGGAGAGTCCGATACAATACCTTTATTTAGTCTAAATGACACTGAAAATAAAATAAGATAGAACTTAATTCATACAGATATCATTAAAAAATATCTAACATTTTAGCTGTTATTTAATCTGAACATTCTACTTTCATGAGTCCTAAAGGGAAAGGATCCTTTAGAGAGAAGATGTCTCACTCTGTTGGTATTTTTGGTACTGCAAAAACTGTTGCTGCTTTTTTGCATATAAGGTTTTCCTCGCTGTTGTAGAAAAACTGGTTTTCAAACATATTTTACTGCACTGAGGAGTGAAAGCAGAAAGACAGAAAAACATTGACCTCGCAGTTAAGAGATAACCATCTGTTTTTCAACCATGAGAAAGAAATGCAGACAAACATGTTTGTAGTGTCTATCAAGACAGGTTCCCCAACATCTTTCACATGTAAACACATTGTTTTTCTGCTGGATTGAAAGTATTATTTTCCTTCAAAAGTGTGTGTGTGTGTGTGTGTGTGTGTGTGTGTGTGTGTGTGTGTGTGTGTGTGTGTGTGTGTGTGTGTGTGTGTGTGTGTGTGTGTGTGTGTGTGTGTGTGTGTGTGTGTGTGTGTGTGTGTGTGTGTGTGTGTGTGTGTGTGTGTGTGTGTGTGTGTGTGTGTGTTGTGTGTGGTGTGTTGTGTGTGTGTGTAGTGTGTGTGTGTGTGTGTGTGTGTGTGTGTGTGTTGTGTGTGTGTGTGTGTGTGTGTGTGTGATGTGTGTGTGTGTGTGTGTGTGTGTGTGTGTGTGTGTGTGTGTGCTGTGTGTGTGTGTGTGCTGTGGTGTGTGTGTGTGTGTGTGTGTGTGTGTGTGTGTGTGTGTGTGTGTGTCGTGTGTGTGTGTGTGTGTGTGTGTGTGTGTGTGTGCTGTGGTGTGTGTGTGTGTGTGTGTTGTGTGTGTGTGTGTGTGCTGTGTGTGTTGTGTGTGTGTGTGTCCTGTGTGTGTTGTGTGTGTGTGTGTGTGTGTGTGTGTGTGTGTGTGTGTGTGTGTGTGTGTCCCATAATGGGTCCAAATGGCCAAGCCTATTTTTCCCACTATTGTCTGCATATGCTAATTAACACAACTTTGTGTGTATAGGAACCTGAGTGATGTGTTCAGTGACATGAAGGACCTGGTGCTGCAGGACATCGATCGGTACTTCAGCTCGTCAGACTGCAGACAGTTCAACCGCTCCGAATCGCTCAGGTCAGAACAACTCTGCTGTCAGCCTGTCCTTTCTCACTTTTCCTTCCTTCCTTCTTTCAATTGTTCCTTTATTAATTATGTTTCTTGCTCTCTCCATACGTTTCTACAGGCTGGCAGATGAGCTGAGAGGCTGGGTCCAACGGCACCAGATCGACAGGAAGAAGTCCGGAGGGAAACCCAAAATAGCCAAGAAGGCCAAGATCGCCCAGGTCCGTCTCCTTCCTGTTAATGCAATTTGTATCACTTTCTATAGCACAGAGTTCTTCCTTTCTGCTCTTTTTGAATGATTGACATCTGTATTTTACCGGTTCATAGTCATATTCATCATGTTATCTGTCTTTGCTGTTGCAGAAAGCTCAGCTGAGGAAGACAAACTTCTCCAGATATCTGCCCATCCAGGCTCACCGCTCCATAGAAAGGTACGCTATACAAATGTACACGTTTATATTGGAAGAACGCTGACTTTATCAGTGAAAAAGTAGCTAAACGTGCTGTATAACTGAAAATGACCTCGTTGTTCCTTAAAAAGTGAAAGCATACCTACAGCTGATCATTAAATAAGATCTCCCTGAGGTTTTTAAGATGTAGTGAAATGTTTTTTGATTACATATTTAAAGGATTGACTTCACTAAATGAAATTGTAAATATTGATTTGAGTGTTATCTGCTCTTCAGCCAGCTGCAGGTGCTTCCTGGTCCGGAGGTCACCTACAGCGACTTCCTGGACGCCATCGACCGGAGAGAGGACACTTTCTACGTCGTGTCCTTCAGACGGGTATGACACCAAACACCACACATGAAACTTTACTGAATATGTTTATGGAAAGTTTTTTGACTATTTGTGATTTGAATGAATTACAAATATGGAATTGGGCATAAGGAATCACAGTTGATGGTCTGTGTTAAAATGACTGTACCACGATAACGTTTAAATTGAATGTAAAAGGAGGTAAAGGTAATATATGAATATGATTTATTAAACCAGACTGTGTTTCTGTACAGGATCACCTGCTGTTACCGGCCATCAGCCACAATAAGACCAGCAGACCCAAGATGTCTCTGGTGATGCCCGCCATGTCTGTCAACGGTGAGTGAGATTTTAAACTGTTCTGTAATGTAGAATTATGGATTCTAAGATAGCAAACTAGAGGCTATATCCAGGGGGATGCATTATGCAGAGCTGCCATTGGTTGAGATAAGTCCAGCCGTGCGTCACAACTCTTTTAAACATCACTGTTGCCGGAAATACATCCCTGGAGGATCCAGCAGTGTATCCTCGGTTATAGCTCCTCCAGAGAGCCTTCTCTCTCCTCTATCCTCTCTCCTCTCTCCTCTATCCTCTCTCCTCTATCCTCTCTCCTCTCTCCTCTCCTCTCTCCTCTCTCCCTCTCTCCTCTCTCCTCTCTCCCCTCTCTCCTCTCTCCTCTCCCCTCTCTCCTCTATCCTCTACCCTCTCTCCTCTATCCTCTCTCCTCTCTCCTCTCTCCTCTATCCTCTCTCCTCTACATTAGTGTATCCTGGGTTATAGCTCCTCCAGAGAGCCTTCTCTCTCCTCTATCCTCTCTCCTCTATCCTCTCTCCTCTCTCCTCTCTCCTCTCTCCTCTATCCTCTCTCCTCTATCCTCTCTCCTCTACATTAGTGTATCCTGGGTTATAGCTCCTCCAGAGAGCCTCCTCTCTCCTCTCTCCTCTCTCCTCTATCCTCTCTCCTCTCTCCTCTCTCCTCCCTCCTCTCTCCTCTACCCTCTATCCTCTATCCTCTCTCCTCTATCCTCTCTCCTCTACATTAGTGTATCCTGGGTTATAGCTCCTCCAGAGAGCCTCCTCGATGCTCGATCCTCGGCCCTCGATGTGCATTTAGAGAAATTAGATGTCCTTCAACATGGCGCGCTGAAATCTATTTCCGGGTCACTACCGGAGGACCAAGGAGTCGAGGAGGTGGAAATTTGACAATTGAAAAAGGGCTTAGGTTCCTTTTAGTGTTTACTTCCTGTCTGTCTTCTTCTGCGGTTCCCGTTAGTGATTACTTCCTGTCTGTCTTCTTCTGTGGATTTCTCTGTCCTCGAGCTCTCTGTCTTTTTACCTGTTTCCTTCTCTTGCACTTTTTTCTTTTCTTTACTGGGAACAGTTTAGCCATCATGAATCCAAAGTATCGTGCTCACAAATATTAACAGCAATATTCAAAAAGTATTCCATGATGTTGCTGACATTAGCCCACTTTAAATTGACCAGATTCTACAGTTAGTGCCCCGGCACTTATTACCCCAGGGCACTAATGGCGCATTTCCACTACAGGGCCTCGCTCGGTATGGCTAGGCCTCGTTAGGCCTTGTTAGGACTGGCTCACTTTATGGCGCATTTCCATTACAGTTTTAGGAACTGGGGTAGTATCTATAGTAACGCAGTGTAGGCGGAGCCGTGACGTCATCTTCATTGAGATCCCCACAAAAACAACACAGCCGTTAGCTGTTAGCACTCAGAGCTCACAGCTCCTCATATCTGTTCAGAAACTAGACAAAAGTTAAACAAGTACAAACCACAGACTGCCTGTGTCATGGTGAATACAGTCGCTGGTTTATTTATGTCTGTATAGGCCGTTGTTGTGAGTGTGGATGGTCGGAGCATATACTGCGTTAGCTTAGCCAATCTCCATTTAGAAAACAAGCATTTTAAAAGGTTTTTCGCCTGCCGTCTGTCTGCAGACTTTTCAAAGCATTAATTCATGGTTTTTACTAACCAGTATCAGTATGTTGTTACTTCGGCATCATTTTGAAACGTGTATTACAATTAAATCATGGTCAAATATGTCCATCTTGTTGTAGTTGTAGCCCCCTTGCCAGCAATTCTCTCTCTAGTTTAGCATACTCAGCCCGACTCAGCCTGGTTGTTCCTGACCTTAGAACCACGATTTTATGGGGCCAGAAAAACTGTGAATTAGGACCCGCTAGCCGGTACTAGGCCAAGTGGAAACGCAACCAAAAAACGTGCCGCTGTCATCACAGCCCTCTTAAACGGGGCTCCGCGCTGCAGTGGAAATGCGCCATAAGTACCAATCGCGTTCACACCGGAGTACTTTTCCCTGAGGGAAGATTACGCAAATGAGCCGCTGACGTCACTTCGTCTTCTTCTGCTTTGGGTTTACTGGCAGGCCGCAAACAACTTCACGGCGTATACTGCCACCCGAAGTCCCAGGAGTTGGGGACTGGCTTCAGTAGAAGCTGCTGTTTCCATGTTTTCTTTTGTGTTGCCATAAGTTACTCTCTCTGCGTTTCTGCGCTGGGCTAATGCTAATAATGCTAATGCGAGGATAATAAAATGGCGGCTTCACAAAACCTTTTTGGAGTTTTACGGGGCGTGGTTTTGCAATTCGCCCAGCCAATAGAAATTGGTACTTTTTTGGTACCACCTCTCTAGCAGGCACTGAAAATGGGGGTAAAAGTACTCTTTTTGGTGTGAACGCGACATCAGGGGTACTAACGGAACTAAACGGGAAAAGTACGGGGTAAAAGTACTCCGGTGTGAACGCGCCTATAGGCTCTGGATCAGAGGATCCATTGCATTGGTTTGCTACTGAGAAAGTGCAGACCACTGCATGTCCAAATCAACCAATCAGATTTGAGAATCTATCTCAGGCATGCAATAATACTGTATACTGCTTGAAATAAAGTATAATGATTTAAGTTTAATTCTGTTATCCTTTCTTCCTTCATCATTCCCCCCTCACTCCTCCCGCTCCTCCCTTCTTCTCCCCCCTGTTTCCAATTCCCCCCCCCCCCCACCCCCCCCCCCCCCCCCCCCCCCCCCCCCCCCAGAGAGTCTGTATAACTCCTCTCAGGGCTATGAGATGATGATGCAGGTGGACTGTGAGGTCATGGACACCCGCATCGTCCCCATCAAGTCCTCGGCCGTCCCGCGGTCTCTCCGCGACCCGCCTCCGCCCCCCCCCCTCCGCCTCTCACAACCACCATCACCACGGCAACCACACCTCACTCAGAGGGCGCCACCATCATCCTTCTTCTTCTTCTTCAGCACCGTCTCCCAGGCAACCTTTACCCCCCCGCAGGCGGACGGACGAATATTTAATCAGCCAATCAGAAGGGGTCTGATGAGACTGACAGATGAGAAGAATTTAATTGAAGATGAAAGAAATATTCAAGCCTTGAGACGGACATCTTTTAAAAAAATAACTTCATCATCCCTCTGACAGGTAACTAACAGAATTATTTTCTTCCTGGAGAAGCTTTATACAGTTTTCTGGAGAAAAAAAACATCTAATAAATGATTTTATTCAAGCTGTTGATGTATAAAAACCATTAACAGAGTCGTTAATGTCACTAAACTAAAGATAGCATTCAGATTTTTGGGTTAACTACTTAAATAAAAGCCTCTATAAAAGAGCATCTCCTAATATATATATATATATATATATATATATATATATATATATATATATATATATATACTATAATATATATATAAATATATATATATATAATATATATATAATATATATATATATATATATATATATATATACAAATATATTTGTAAAAGTTAGACGCAAACCCGGCAGCACACCGCACTTAAAAACAATCCTGCGTTTAAATAATGAATTGTGAAACTGTACAGTTTGTATGAAGTGGGGGGGGTCTGTGTATGTGTGGTGGTGTAAGTCAGTTTCTGTTTTAGCTCAGAAACAACCTGTCATTGGCTGACAGGGGGCGGTGCACAGTTAGTTATTGAACATGTATTTAATATTTTTCAACAAATTTCATTGAGAGAGAAATACAACAGTGAACTAACAAAGCAGTGACTGTGCAGTTAGATTTTATGAGGAGTTTGCGTATACAAAATGTATATTTGTGTTGTGACCATGAGTGGTATACCACTTCATGTAGAACAGGAAACACCCTGACAGCTGCGGCAGGAAGCTGGGTCTTAATGACGGCTGGAGAAGACACAGCTTCTGAGTCTGGAGGACAAGAGCAATATGATACAGTTAAACAAATATACATAATCAGGGCTGCTTGAATTTGAAAAATGAATTGCAGTTATGTAGATGATAATGCAAATGCGATATGATTCACAATATTAGAGGGCTTGATAGTTCTTCAATCATCATTTTCATTATGATTTCAAAAGATCATGACAAAATAATTTTCCACCAATATCGTTTTTGTTATTAAGCAGTGAGCTTGATATCTGACAAAGTGTAAGGGTTTCTTCATAAAATATATCTTTAACATTTCCCCGTTAATCATTGACCAACAGTCGGTCAAAGGTTCTGTGAATATATCTGTAACCCACTTTAAAATAAACAATATTTAGTTTTCTATAGCTTTAACACCAGCCAAAGTAGTAGTAGTAGTAGGAGTTGGTTCATTTGTTAATTAGTTGGAAATGCAGTAAAACATTATTTGGGGAAGATATCAGGCTGTAAGTCTTCAGTCCTAAAAAAGGTGTGTTCAGGAACAGCACACTGATGTTAATCTGCTAAAACATGTTATATGACGATGATAACTTTATCATAGGAAAAAGTTCTGAATTCATTAACTTAACTATTTTTTAGATTTAGATCATTCTAATTCTATCATTACATCCATGAATTTGCTTAAGGCTCATACAAAAAGATGATTGTTATACCTGCTAAACCTGCCTGAGAATCTTAGCATGTTCAGCTGCTCTTCAGCATCAGAGTGATCCAGGAACACTTGTCCGGATGTCCTTGGCCACACAGCGACAGGAACCGCTAGTAACTAATCCAGCATCTTGAAATGGTGCCATTCTTATTTGAAATGCAAACTAATCTAGTCTATAATATATATAAACCCAAATGCCAGACGTCACTAACCCTCTTCATCACTGAGATCCTCTTCATGTGACAGCTGTCAGATGTTCATTCATGTTTGTTTTTTTATAGAAACATGTTGTTTTGAATGGGGATTATTTAAAAGTTGTAAATATCAATGGGTCCTCTGTAGATATATTGTTTGTTTGTCACCTTTTTATACATCTTTTTTATTTCAATGTGTTCTGATCTTTTGACAACAAAAAGTAAAAGGAAACAAAACAGGAAAACGGACTGATGTTGAATTCTATATTTTGTATTCTTGTGTTCAGTCCAGTGGACCAACCACCTTCACCCTCTCTGTGCTCATAGTATAAACTCAGTCCTGATAACACATTATATTTATGAAAGATATTCACAGATTTTTTTTATTGTACAGAATGAACTTGTAGGACGTTTTACATGATCAGTTTTGTTGAAGAAATGATACTTAAACCATCCTAAAGGACAGATCATTACTGCAGAGTCAAGACAAACAAGTTTAATGTCAAATGTAGTTTTTCTTTCGTTTGTTAAAGTCTTTAACATCAAATATTTATGATTTTCTTTGTTTCAAACATTTCAATATTTTTTCCTATCAAACATCAAACACATAAAAAGAGTCACTTCAACAATTACAGTAAAGATCTCTGCATTATGGGTAATGTAGGATCTTTTGTGGATCCGGAGGGAGCTTTCCAAAAGGATGAGGGTTTAACTAAAGATGCTGTCTAGTTGCATTATGGGTAATGTAGGATCTTTTGTGGATCCGGAGGGAGCTTTCCAAAAGGATGAGGGTTTAACTAAAGATGCTGTCTAGTTGCATTATGGGTAATGTAGGATCTTTTGTGGATCCGGAGTGAGCTTTCCAAAAAGGATGAGGGTTTAACTAAAGATGCTGTCGAGTTGCATTATGGGTAGTGTACGATGCAGTGTTTTGGCAGATCTTCACACTAAAACTCTGATAACTCTTTAAATCCCTCTGCTTGAAGGAAGTGGAACTAAATAGTTGGAGTGCCTCTTTGAGAGTTCACTAACTCATGCAGCAAAACGGTGACTCATAAAACAACAAGTTTGACAATCAAAGAAATGCAAATGTATTGACTTTTTACTCATTTTCCTTTTTTATGTTGTGGCTAATGAAACTAGAAAAAAGATTCAGCCAGTCGAATAATAGTTGTATGTTTTAATTAAATGTGCTTATTGTTATGTTGCTAAAAGTTCACAATGTATTCAGGCTAGTATTATACAGTCCAGTACATAACTCCTCTAAAATTGTAATTTATTTTACTATTGCATTTTTGTACGGTTTAAACAAAGCTGTTAAAATCGTTTTCTGTTATATCTGTTATCCTCTGTTCCCAGTCTGTATGCTAAACTAAGCTAACCACCGTATTTACTGCATATATACGAGTAAGGTATTCATCTAAACATTTCCCAGAATGTTGGATTATTACTTTAACTTGTACTAACATTAACAGTCTTTGTCTTCCGCTCTGCTTTCTGTTTTTGTTGGTCTGTTGTCTCTCGCACGCTCCTCCTGCATGTCTGATTTTGGTATCTTTTCTACTTTTTCCATGTATTTGTTTTATAATTGTAAAGTAATACAAAGATGGAAAAAGTGGGTGGGGGCATGAAGTTTAATGTTGGTTTTGAACTGTGTGGGTGGGAAACTGCTGAGTCATGTTCTTCTGAAACTAAGATCTTTGTTTCACAGATAAATACAAATGGTTTGGGCAAGCCTGCCGATATGTCTCATCTGGTTGGTACCGTCTCAAACCTTGGAGAAAATGCCTTTTTCTAATGATTGAGTCACTGTTCCCCACAAGTTATTTTCACTATTTATTTTTCCAGTAAATTGGGATATTTCGGTTGCCATTTCTTTTTTATACAAATGTTCCAAACAATTCTTGAAAAGTCAAATTGATGATAAAGCCAAAAATAAAAACAGAAAACATTCAGCAGCAGATCTTTGGCTTTTTGTTTCAAAAAATAACTTTAAGGGTGACAAAATAATCAAAATAGATGGGCATATAATAAAGGTGGGTTAAAAAAAAAATGTCATCTGTGGAAGCCGTAGTACTGTAAAAAGCACGACCAATCATCTGAGCCGGCCCGGCTAAAATAACTGGATGGCCTACCTGCCTGTCAGCCTTCCATCTGTGCACAAACTTATCTCGTGCCCTCATTGGTCATGTGGGCGTTCGTGTGTGTTGGAGGAGGGGCTCTGTAAGGAAGTGGCAGATTTTTTCCGGTTGTGTATTTTCAAATTCTAGCGATCTCGAGCCGGTTTCTCCAAAATGACCTACCCCACCTTTAAGTATCTGTTGAAACGAGGGGAGAAAGTGACTAACAACTAATGCATAGTCCCTATAAAAACACAAGATAAAATAGGAGAACTCAAAGATGGCAGTTTCCTTGAATCAGATATCTCTAAAATCATAATTTTATGATTTGTAAACTGGAGTTTGTATTCTCTTCAAAGAAGACGTTTCTCACCAAGTCAACTCAAATCAGAGACCTGATCAGAGTCCAGATATTAATGTTTCTTTTTTTACTGTCCGACCTTTAAACAGGCTTCCTAAATCTGTGACAGCATGACTAAAGCTAACCATGTACATAGAATGTTGTTTTTTTTATTTAAATATGTAAATACATGATCTTTCTATTTCCATCCTCTGATGAAATGACACAATGGAATTTCTGCCTTTATGTTTGTAGGAGGCGTTGAATTTGATAAAGATATAATAAACTAACGCTCTGTTCTCCTGTTGTTTCTTCATTGTGTGAAAACCGATTAGCTCGGACCATAAACATTTGTCATAATCCGTCATATTTGTATAGATGACGCAAGCTTTTAGTTTCAGCTAAATTCAGTTTTGTTTCTGTTTTAGTGAATCCTGTTGTGTTAATTAATTGTACCTTTTTTCTTCACACACAAAACAGACATGGACAGGAAATGTGAGCTTATCAATTCTTACGTAGGACATTTGTCTTTGAAGAATTACGAAGAATATCTGACTGTTTCCCTTCTGCTAATCAAAATCCAGGCTTACTGTCGTCTAAAACTAGTCAAGTACAGCAAAGTTAAGGTTTCCATATTGATCATAAGATTATTTATAAAATGAAAATTATTTAATCAATATTATTATATTAATCTATATCTGTGTGTGTGTGTGTTGACCCAATATATAAAGCGTTAATGTGGGGATTGCAATGCATTCATTACTGCTTTCCAATTTCCCGCGTTAAATGGCTTCAGACAAACGTTTTATTATACTGTTAATGTGTATATAAGGATGATTGTAACCATGCACGTCTGCCGCCCAGAGAGCCCTCAGTGGTCACTGGCCTCCATCGGCCCCTCTCTGACCCGGCTCAGCGACACAGTCCGGACCACCAGCTGCAGACCACCCGAGGCCTTCAGCTCTCTGTTTATCCTCTAATTGTGGAGCTGTAAATCTT